CTCCTTCTGGTAATAAGACAAGATCCCGAATATCATTGTCTTTCATGAATTTAATCACTTCATTTATAGTATCGATCCACTTTTGAGAATTTAAACTTTTTATGATTTGACAGAAATTGATTGGATCATCTTCCATCAATCTAGAGTCATCCTAATATTCTTGAAAAAAGACAATGTAATCATCTGGTATTACACTTGTTCTTTCTCTAGTTGATCTTCTTAATGATACTGATTTTTGAAGAGGTAGAGTTTGTTTTTCTATAATAGTTTATTTTTTCAACATTATCTTGATTTATTGTGTCATGATCAATATCAAGAATGGAATTTTGAACAAGATCAATGACGCTTATAGGAATATTGACATATTTCTCCTTAAAGACAAGGTTCCTAATTGTATCTTCTCCCCCAGACTCCACATCTTCAAAGAACAGAACATTTTTCATTTTGAAAATTGATTTATTCGTGGGATCATAAAACTTGTAATTCTTGGATCTTTCAGAATATTCAATAAAATAACAACTAATAGTTCTTGAGTCCAATTTCTTTTCTTTGACCTATAAGATCTTGCCTCAATTGGATATTTTCAAATGTGTAAATGTTTCAAATTAGATTTTTTTCTATTCAAAACTTATAAGGGATTTTGATAGTTAATTTAGTTGAAACTTTGTTAAGGATATATGCTGCAATCTTAAGTGTTTCTCTTCAGAGTAACTCTTGTAAGGTAGAATGACATATCATATTTCTTATCATGTCTTTAAGTGTTCTATTTTATCTTTCAACTATATTATTCATAGTAGGTAAACCTGACATAGTGTACTGTAAGATGATACCGCATTTCTTTAGGTATTTGACAAATGATCCTAGACATTGTTCACCTGAACTATCATATCTACCATAGTACTCATCACCACGATCAGATCTGACGGTTTTGATTCTTTTATTGAGTTAATTATCAACTTCAGTCTTAAAAATTTTGAACACGTTTAGCAGCTACAATTTTTCAGAATTGAGATATATGTAGTTATATCTTAAAAAATCATTTATGGATGTTATAAAATATTATTGATCATTCTAAACAGATGTAAGAAATGGCTTACAAATATTTATATGTATAAGTTCTAAGACATCTAAAGATCTATTGGTTTCAAATCTCCTTTTATTAGTTTGTTTTCCCTTTATATAGTTACCACAATCATCAAAATCTATAAAATTCAAGGGGTCGAGAATTTCATTTGACACAAGTTTTTTCATTCTCCGTTTAGAAATGTGACCCAATCTGTTGTGCCATAATACAGTCGAATTTTCATTGGTTAATTTTCTCTTTACTCCTCTAATATTCAAATGTAGAGATTCATTAAATGAGAAAATTATATTACTTAAATTAGATTATCATACTGCATTAAAAAAAAAAGGAACCAATTAATTTTGAATCATGAAATAATTTAAACTTTTCATTTTTAAATGAAAAAAAATAATCAAATTTGTCCAAAGTAGATATAGAAATCAAATTCCGTCGAAAAGATGGTATAATAAATGTTCCATTAAAATCCAAATAAAATTCAATCTTTAACAATAATCTAAAAACACCTACTGTTTTAACTTGAATTATTTTGTCATCGCTTACGTAGATCTATCCTTCATTATCATTAAGTGTTTGACAATTCAAACAATCCTGTATAAACATACTAATGTGAGTTGTTGCATCAAAATCTAACCATTATGCGTGTTTAGGTAGCGAAATTAAATTAATCTCAAAACAAATCAAATTAAGAAATAGACCTTTTTTAGCATGCCAAGTGTGATAGTTGGTGCAATGCTTATTTTTATACCCTTCAGCTTCACAAAAAAAATAACCATTCTTTTTAGAATCAGTCGATTTCTTTTTTTTTTTTAGGTGCTGTAGCTACAGTTCTTATCCTTCTTTCTTTTATATGCCTTACTTTTATTATTAATAGTTGAAATCAGATGAACACTTTCTGTCTAATCTTACTTCAATCTTTTCTCTTCCTCTACATAGTGTGAGATGAGTTTATTTAAAAATCAGGTCTCCTTTTGACAGTTGTGGCTCACCTTAAATTGATTAAACAATGTAGGAAGAGATATCAAAATCAAATGCACTAGTAATTCTTCAGAGAGTACTAATTTAAATGCATTTAATTTCGAAACAAAATGAAACATTTCCATGATATATTTTCTGATATTACCATTACCACTATATTTTATTGAAATTAGGTGTATCAAGAGCGTACTTATTTCAGTCGATCTTTTCGTTCTTGACAAACATTTTTTCAATGTCGTAAAGGAACGCCTTGACCGTTGTTCTCGTTTCTGACATTGTTCCTTTGAATTTTTTTGGAACGACTTTTTTAATAATCATCAAATATAAGCGATTTGAATTCTCCCAACTTTTCTTATCTCTCTTTTCATCAGAGGTACTCTAATCTGTAAGAAGTGGTGGGGAATCATTTTTTAACTTAAGGTCGAGATCTATTACTCCAAAAACTATCAAAAAATTTTCTTTTCAAAACTTGAAATTTGTGCCATTCAGCATAGAAATATTATTGATATTGGTAGTAATATTTGTAAGATCATTCACAATTGAATAGAAAATATAAAATAATTAAAATAAACTCACATACACCAAAAAATAATAAAATTTAAATAAAGAGAATCCCATCTCAAGATACTGATATTCCATTAATATTTTATTTTTAGACAAAAATATTAACTTCTAAATGATATCTTGGCTCAATAATAAATATTGATAATAATAACATGTCAAAAATAAATTTTTCTTTGAGTCAATTTATCATTCGCATGAAAAAATTTGAATAATCATCACGTGTTTATTATCACAAATTCACATATAATTTTGTTAAATATTGACCTTCCCTTGAGTCAATTAATATTCATAAAATTACAAGTACGCAAATAATTATATTTTACAAGGCACGAGAATACTTGCTATTATCAAATTAGGGTTCTCTCAAGCTGTGCAGCGCACGTATTGGTTGGCTGAACGGCTGGTCGCTGCCGCCGGCATGGCGGCACCGCTGGGTCCTGGGCTTGAAGGCTATCCACGGCCTTCGAGCAAGACCTTTGCTGATATCGTGGCTGGAGTGTCCTCTCCGACACCAGATCTGGGATCTCTGGGCAAACACCGTGGCGAGCCTGCCCTCATGCTTACGAAACAAGACTTGGCCTCTTTGGCTGCTCCCTACAGCAATGTGTTGATTGGGAGGTTTGCGTATTCTAGGCCGCCAATGGAGACCATCAGGAAATTTTTTGCGGCTGTTGGATTGCGAGGGTCCTGCGACGTCGGACTGCTCGACTCTAAGCATATACTCATTCGCCCTTCTACGGAGGAGGACTACGCTAGGATCTTCCTCAGGAGGACTTGGTTTGTCCAAGCTTCACCCATGGCAATATCCAAGTGGACAATGGATTTCAGAGTTAATCAAGATTCTTCTGTGGCGCCAGTTTGGGTTGCCTTGCCAGGATTGCCTCTTCCGTTCTTTGAAAAGAAATACCTGTTCAAGATAGGATCTCTTCTTGGCCGGCCATTACAGATAGACTCGGCAACCCTCGCTCTCAAAAGGCCGTCGGTTGCGCGAATACTGGTTGAGATTGACGTTGCTTGTCCGCCGGTTAAGAGGATCTGGATAGGGGATGAGGAGGCTGGGCAATGGCAGCAACTGGATTACGAAGACTGGCCGGCATATTGTGGGTTCTGTGAGAAGCTTGGTCACAGGGAGGCTGACTGCTTCGCGAAGAATCCAGCGCTCAGGCCAGCACCTGCAAAGGCCAAGCGGGCCATATATCGCCCCAAGGCGCACACTGCTGAGGGCGGAGAAACTGCGGCAGAGGGGCAGCAGGGAATTCTGGGGGCAGTGCAGGGTGTTGGGGTCCAACAATTGCTACTTCCAGATTCCAACCCTGCTGAGGCGATTCACGGGGTGCAAGCAACAGCGGAAGTGGGGGCGGCGCAGCAGAATGGGATGGATGCAACGCAGGGCGGTACTCTCTTGATTGACCTTCCGCGGGTAGAGACACCGCCACCTCCGGGGGCAGCGCAGGCGCAGCATGATGCTGGGATAGGGACGGTGACCTGTTCCACGGACCACCAGGAGCCATTGGGGGTGACAGAGGTGCCTCCGGTGGCGCATCTGGACGCACTTCCGGTGTCCAACTCCTTTGCCGTCCTGGGCATGGACCTGGTTCGGCGGGAGGGCGGCTTTCTTTCTGCTGGGCAGCTTCCCTCTACTCCTCCGAGCGCCAAACCTCTTCGTCGGAGCAAATCATGGGACAACAGGACGGGGGAAGCCGCTCTCGCTTCTGGTTCGCTGCCACTTCAAGCGGGCCTGAGCTGCCACTTGCCTCAGGCAGCGCAGCTGGAATTGCCAAAAGGAGCGGTGATTGATGCGAAGGACATTGAGCTTCTCAACAACCTCTCTAGGAAATCTGGACGGCCAATCAACTACAACAGGAGGTTACAACACTACCTATCTCAAGCTAAGTCATCTTTAGTCTCCCATGATAAGTCCCATTAACTTTTTAGTGTGGAATATAAGGGGGGCTGCCCGGGCAGACTCCCAACGGTATCTTCATAGACTACGTAGACAACATCGTTTGCGGCTAGTAATATTGTTGGAGCCTATGGCTTCCAATGATACTTTGATTTTGCTTGGACGAAAGTTAAATTATTCCCACGCTCAGTCGTTCCTGGAGGGGAAAATTTGGGTTTTATCGAATGATGATCTGTCTGTGGTGCCTCATGAGTTGGGGGACCAAATGGTACACATGGAGATTTCTTGGGTAGGCTACTCCCTCCAGGTGTCAGCGGTGTACGCCAAATGCACAAGAGTGGGTCGGCGGGGCCTATGGCAGGCAATGGAGGACGTTCACGAGAGGTTTCCAGGCCCATGGTTAATGGCGGGTGACTTTAATGTGGTCTCGAATGCCAGCGAGAGGTCTGGGGGGCCCCACCAAACGGGCGAAATATGGAAGAATTTAATGAGGCCATTTTCTCATGTGGGCTTGCGGATGTGGGCTTTGATGGCCCCCAGTTTACTTGGACCAACGGTACGGTCTGGCAGCGTTTGGACCGGGCTATTGCGAACTCAGCTTGGATGGACACGTTTGACGTGACGAAGGTGTCCCATCTAGTGCGGGGTAGATCTGATCATGCCCCTCTCTTGATCAAATGTGGTATGCATAAGGCGCATAGCTCATCTTTCCGTTTTCTTAATGTCTGGGCCAACCATTCGAGTTTCATGGATGTGGTTCGGGACGCTTGGCAAGTACCTGTCCAAGCTGGGGGTATGCTCGGTTTCCACCAGAGGCTGTCAAGCGTTAAACACAAACTCCGCTGCTGGAGCAGGCAGTCCTTTGGAGATATCTTTCAGACAGTCCAAGTGGCTGAGGAAACCTTGCGGCATTGCCAGGAGGAGTTTGACGCGGCTCGGGATGACAGCTCTCGGATGCAGTTGCGGGAGGCTCAGGCTCGTTACGCTCGAGCTTTAGGCGTGGAGTGTGAGTACTGGAGGCAAAAATCGGCAATTAGGTGGATCCAGCAGGGCGATGCCAATACCAAGTTCTTCCATTCCATCGTGAAGCAGCGAAGGAATGCCAACTTTGTCTCACGGGTGAGGGATGGTACGGGTTGCTGGCTAGAAGAGGAGGAGGACATCAGAAACTCGGCAGTGCAGTACTTTGAAAAGTTGCTCACGTCGGATCGGGAGGACCGGGCTACCCCAAGCCTGGATTTCCCGCTCCCCTCAATAACAGCTGCGGACAATATGATGTTCCAGCAGCTGCCGTCGCTACAGGAGGTAAAGGAGGTAGTTTTCTCGATGTCGAAAGATAGTGCGCCGGGGCCGGACGGATTCGGGGCAGGTTTCTACCAGGAGTGTTGGTCAATTATCCACAGGGAGCTCCTCGAAGCAGTTCAGGAATTCTTCAAGGGGGCCCCCCAACCCAGAGGCTTCTCTAGTGCATTGATTGTGTTAATCCCAAAGGTAACGGGAGCGGCCAAATGGCAGGAGTTCAGGCCGATTAGCTTGTGTAACCAAAGCTCCAAAATTATCTCCAAAGTGCTAACAAATCGCCTCAACCTGATACTCCCTAATCTTATCTCATCTTGGCAGTCAGGTTTTGTCCCAGGTAGGAGCATTGCTGACAATATTCTAGTGGCACAGGAGCTAGCACAGGATATTGATAGGAAACTGACATGTCCGAACTTGATGCTTAAGCTAGATATGGAGAAGGCGTATGACAGGGTAGAATGGAGTTTCCTTATATTTATGCTCCGCCGGTTTGGGTTTCAAGAGTGGGGGGTGGATCTCCTATTTCGGACGTTGTCAAATAATTGGTTCTCGTTGCTTATCAATGGCTCCTCGGCAGGATACTTCAAATCCTCTAGGGGGGTGCGACAAGGTGACCCACTCTCTCCAGCATTGTTTCTTCTGGTGGCCGAATTCTTGGGTTGGGGAATGCATCACCTGTTCTGTCAGGATGAGAGCCGATTTTATGTCTCCCCTGGGTTGCGGGTCCCTTATTTGGCGTTTGCAGATGATACCCTGGTCTTCACACGGTGCTCTGAGGGGGGGCTGACTTCTCTCAAGACATTCTTTGATTCGTACCAAGCGTTCTCTGGTCAGAAGATTAATGCCCACAAGAGCTGTTTTATTCTGTCTACCCGGGCGTCCTCTACACATGGGTCAATGGTGGCTTCAACGCTACATTTTCAGCAACAGTTCCTCCCGTTCACGTACCTGGGGGCCCCAGTCTTCAAGGGACGAACGACGTGTGTTTTGTTTGATCCCCTTGTGGCTAAGGTGCAGGCCCGGCTATCTCATTGGAGCTCGCGATTGCTCTCGTCAGGGGGTAAATTGGTGCTTCTGCGGCATGTTCTTACCTCGATGCCTATGTACCTGCTGCAAGTTATGGATCCTCCTCGGGCAGTTTTGCTCAGGTTGGGAAAATTGTGTAATGCGTTTCTTTGGGATAAGCCCGCTGGCACAAGGGGCATACACTGGACTTCTTGGGAAACGATCTGCTTCCCGGTGGCTGAGGGTGGACTGGGTTTTCGCTCCTTTGCAGACATGTGCTCGGCCTTTGCCTGTAAATTATGGTGGCGGCTACGCAAAAATGAATCACTTTGGGCGAGTTTCATGCACGCCAAATATGTTCGAGGCAAGCACCCGATCCAAGTGACGGTAGCCAGGCCTTCGCCCACATGGAGGCGGCTGGAGGGAATCAGAAGGGTTGCGGAGAACCACATCAGGTGGTGCGTGGGTAGAGGGTTTGTAGATTTGTGGTATGATCGTTGGCTCTTTGAAGTCCCGCTAGCCGACCTTGTTTCCATTCCTGATCCGCCCCACATGCTGCTCGCAGAATTCTTTGACGACAGGGGTTGTAATGTAGAGAAACTGCAGCAATGGGTACCGGCTCAGTTGGTACATCAGATCCAGGATATTCAGTTATTCCCCGAGCAGCAGGATCGAATGGTTTGGGTGGGCTCACCCACGGGGGAGTTCGCAACCAAGGCTGCTTGGGAGGTTTCTCGGCTCAAACATAATGCCTCGATGCTGGATGGGTTCGTTTGGACAAGGATTGTGCCACTGAAAATATCATTCTTTGCATGGAAGGTTTTACGTAACTTGATCCCCTTGGAAACGGTTCTGCAACGGCGAGGAGTTCCCCTGGCCTCACGCTGCCCGTGTTGTTTATTGGAACAAGAGTCGCTAGTCCATCTCTTCGTCAAGGGCCCCGTAGCAAGGGAGGTTTGGCGTTCCTTTTGTCAGAGATTTGGGATTATTGATCCTCGCTTCTCATCAGTATCTGCGATGGTATTGGCATGGCTTACCTCGACTTCATTGGTATCTCGGGACCATATCAGGACTGTCGTTCCAATAGTCATACTGTGGTTCCTATGGAAGGCTAGGAACAAGGCGCTTTTTGAGGGTGAAATCTTTGAGGCTCGTAGGGTGGTGTCGGCGGTCGACGAATTCGTAAAGCAATTGGGGGCGACAGCAAGACTTTCGGCAGCACATTTCCGAGGTGACATGGGGGACCCATGGATCGGACGCTGCACCCGACCAGTGAAACGGAAGACGGCGCAGGCGGTGTCTTGGAGCCGCCCTCCGTGGCAACATGTCAAGTTGAATACGGATGCTAGTGTTTCTAACAAACGCGCGTATGGGGGTGGTTTGCTTCGCGACTCGGACGGTCAATTAATTTTTGCCTATTACAAGGAGTTTGGGGAGTTGGACGTTCTCCTGGCAGAAAGTACTTCATTGCTACATGGACTTCAGCTTTGTAGTGACCTAGCCCCGGGACCCTTGCTGGTGGAGGTGGACTCTAAGAGCCTGGTTGATCTGCTCAATGCGGGAGCGACGTCCAATTGGCCCTTGTGTAACACGTTGCGTCGTATCCGAGCTCTGCTTTCCTCACTTTCGGCAGCAGTATCTCATATCTTCAGGGAGGCAAATGCGTCGGCGGATGCGCTCGCTGGGTTGCGGATGCCGTCGGAACTTTTTTGTACTTCGCTCCCTCAGCTTCCGCGTGGTGTGCGAGCTAGGGTATGCCTAGACAGCCGCGAGGTCTCTTCCCTGCGGTGGCAACCCGGTTAGGTCTTTGTGTTAGGCTTAACTGATGTACTTCAATTTTCATCGCACCATGTACTCCTCTGTTTTCAATCAATAATATAAATTTCTATTTAAAAAAAAACAAAAAAAAAAACAAAAAAAAAAAACAAAAAAAAAACTAATTATATTTTACAATAAATTAATTTTCACAAAAGATACCACTTTGGTGGCATATTATTTCAATTAATTTATTCTAAAAAATATATAATCATATCAATATTCAAATTTAAAATTACACAAATTACACAAAAATTTTGATTAGAATCAACTCTGATCAACTTTGGTCAAAATGTGCTCAACCCAGTCAAACTAGTCAAATGAATTAAGACTTATCGGACTAAAAGTCTATATCTATAACTTGATCCAATTTTATCATTCAAATCCAAAATTTTTTTGAAATTCATAAATACCTTATAAGACTATATATTTATTGGACCAACCTTATGGACTTTTTTTAAAGGTTTAAATGTGTTGTTTAACTTTATTAAGGTTCACACAAATTAAAGAAACCCTAATTTCCTTAACATATTAATAAGTTGCATACCATGCAGGCCCTACCAAATATTATGTTGATGAAAACTTTTAAATGAATAAACTAACAAAACAAGCCCCAAGGCTTTCTGTTCAAATAGGGGAAAGACGAACAATTTTTCAAAACCAGAAATCAAGTTAATTTATATCATGGAAAGTATGTGAATCCCACATATCATGACTTGTGTGAACTTATGAAGAGTTTTATAAAATTCAACAATTAAGCAAGACAAGCATACGTAATTCTGGAACCATGTGTACTTGAATCATGTGCCAACTAATCATAACAAACAAAGGAAATATGTGTACTTGATTGTGCATCATGTTTATTACCCATGGATTCATATGTAACCAAAAATAATGAATTGGACAGTGCAAATTTATCGAAAACATAAGCAAACAAATTACATTAAAATCAAAATTCAAGATTGTCAACCGCCGCACAATCAAAATAAAAATAATTCTAGTCAGAAAAAAATTTGAAAACTATGAATTATTAAAAATCAAATTATTTTCTAACAATCAACCATATCCTATTCTGATACCACTTGTTAGGTGGTTATTTATATTAACCTTTGGTAAAAATTATTACCTATTAAATCCAAAACTTTTATAGTGATTATTAAGAAATAAATTAACAGTGAAATTGCGAAAGCGTACCTGGATTCATGTTAACTAATTGGTACTTGAATCTTTAGAGATTTTGGGATGGTCTTTCAAGTCAACATGTATTTACTATTCTCTTGAGAGATGCCTTTAATTTCTCTCTGGTACCTTTTCTAACAATAGGATATGAGGGAAGAGTTATTTTGTAGTACTAAAAATACGATAATAAGAATAATGTGATCTGAAAACCATACTCCTATTTATAGATATTTTTCATGTTATCTTTTGCATTTCTATTTCAACCCATAATAGAAATAAAAATTACTCTTAAATCTTTACACATTAAAGACCCATATCCTATTAGATACATTAAAAACTAAATTATATTTGATCACTTTTATTGGACTTAATCTTATTTGATAGTTTGCAACACATAACTATTCATATATAAATCCAACGTTGGGTTAAGGATCCAACATTACCAAGTTACTCAAATTACCAATTGAACTTGGAATTTCACTTTCGATTCGACAATTACTTGCACCAAATGATTCGAGTGAGCTGGAAGATTTCCGGTGGACTTTGGAAGGAAGCCATTCAGTGGATTCCCTCCAATCCACAACTTTCTTAAATTTCTGCAATTTGGAAGGGATGTGATGAAGCTCAACTCTTTGGACCGTGAGTCCCCAGAAAAATCATTCTCTGCAACAACCAAGAGTTCTAGCAATGTCAAATTTCCGAGAGAATGAGGAATTTCGCCGGTAAAATGGTTCATAGCTATGTCTAGTCTTCTGAGCTTCGAAGCATTTGAGATGGATGTTAGTATAACTCCAGTAAATGTATTCTTCCCAAGAAAGAGTTCCTCAAGATTGGGTAAACCTAAAGTCGATGGAAGCTCGCCAAAAAAACTGTTGTTCCCAATGGAAATAATTTGTAGAGTTGAAATGTTGAAAAGCTTCAGTGGGATGGGACCTCTCAGTCTATTGATATGATTTCTGTTGCCCGCAACTTGGTAAGGTTACCGATCTCTTGAGGTATGATACCTGATAAATCAAATTGGCAACAAGAAACTGAGTTATTTGACTTGTAATAATTTGGTCAAAGAAAGAGGCAAGTAATGAGAAATGGACATATGTAGGAAACACATATAACTAAGAATTGGGGAAAATCGTTCAAAATAGCCTTACATTTTGCCGAATAAATTTTGTTGTTCTTCACTTTTAAAATATTAAATTTATATCCCTTATAAATTTAAGTTAACAAAATTTAGACTTAATAAAAGTTTCCGACCACTAGTTAATCTAAAATTACCATGTGACTCACATGTAACTATTTTTTATGTACAAAAAGGTTAAATTCCACTTTTTACTGGCAAAAATATATATATGGATTGATCAAATCCTAATTTTCTAAGGAAAAAATGAATATAGATTAAGTTAAATCCTACTTTTTAAGCAGTACAATGAATATAAATATGGTCCTTTGTTTAACTACAAATATGATCAAACTTTTTTCCTCTAAAAATTGATCATATATGCGTCGCATGATGGATTCAGGATTAAAAAGTTGTCGAAAACTTAGGTTGGAATCAAATTTTACTGACATAATTTTGTAAAGGACATAAAGTCACTATTTTAAAAGTAAATGACAAAAATATTCATTTGGCAAAACATGAGAGATGTTTTGAAGAATTTTCCCCCACAACTATGGCTTACAAGCTAGCAAGCATTTGGGTACATAATGATAAAGACAAGTTCATGTAAATCCTTATTGATGAACTAAGCATAAAGTAATGTAGCTTAAAAACATCTTTTCTCTGCCCATTTGAGCATCTATCGAATCATTGCTCATGTAAAAAGCTGACTGGCTCAACATATCTAGTTCACAGTGGTCAGTCAATTGATGTTATTTTGGACCATGTAACTCAGAATTTGTCATCCAAAGCTAGGCTAATTACAGTGGTTAAAGCATGACAACACGCCAAAACTCTTGGGTATCATTTATTCATGTAATTTAATTTCTTTTTGGGTGGTAAAGGCAAAGTGACTACGGAAAGGGAAGGATCCAATAGGAGCACAAGAAAACAAAGGGAGGCAGAATCCACCTCCAGCCCAGATTGGTTCATTACTACACTGGCTAAGCAAATTCCAGAAAAATCCTGGGAGGAACGCAAAATCCTATTTTTTAACAAGTTTGCCTATGTATCTCACTCATCTAAAGACAAGTAACTAAACTTAATGAAAGGGGAAACATTTCAAAAAAATTCTTTCGTTTCAGAGCAATCAATTGGAGTCGAATGATATATGTAGCATATTAAGATCAAGCTGATCGAACTCAGTTTGAATGCCTAAACCCGTTTACCTTATGCCATGCACCAGTGTGAACTTGCTTCAGTCGAACTCATATTTGACTTTGAGAAACTACTGTGACAATGCAATAATAAAATAGATCTTATTTCAAAATGTATCAAGTTTTTGTCCTGCCAAGTTAGCATTTGGTGTAGCTAGTTCATCCAAATTATAGAGATTGCCAATGGCTTTTGGGATTTCACCTGCCAACAAATCATGGCATCACAATGAAATTTAATAAAGGAAGTTTGCACCAATATTACTAAAGTAATTAACGACTGCCAGCAGCAATCTTTTTTATGTAAGTATTCCATGTAAATTATAAATTTAGTCTCAAAATCCTGTAAAACATAATCAAAATTTCTTATTGGGTTATGAGGATTGTGAACAACTTTCATGGGGCTATGATGGAATTTCAGTCTAAATTCATAATTAATGCGTTAACTTACATCAATTAGTCATGGACGACAATTGCCAGTTATAGCAAAGAACTTTAGAAATGTTGTTGCAAATTATGATTGAATAAAAGGAAGATTTTTTTTTTAAATTTTTGACAAAATAAAGAAGCAAGTTAAGAAATAAGAAAAATAAAACAATTTAGTTTGAAATGAATATAGATAACGTCAAGGATGCGGTCAAAACTAACGATACTTCAAGTAAAAAATTGACATAGTGCATGTCAAGGTAGAATTGTCTTTTTCAACCCAGACACACACACACAAAAGCAATTATTTGCAATGAACTTTTGAATGTTAAAATATATTAATACATATTACTATTCATAATATTAATACATATTACTATTAATACATATTGTATATATTATTATTCATTAAGACTAAAAAAAGGGAAAAAGAATAAATTAATTGATTCTCAATTGATACAATTCATAAAGTTGAGTGACTAGAGTAAACTAGACAAGGCCCAACCATTGGGGCCGAAACACAATAGGTTTCTCGAATATGTGTAGCCTAAATATTGGGTACTGAAGCCATCAAATCCTGAACAGATTTGTCGTTGAATTTTCTTGTTTATTAATTTTTGTGTTGTTAAATCAATATTCTTATCCTTGACCAACTCAAAAGTTTAGAACACTTATTTTTTAATTGTTGCATGACAAGACCAGTTTTGACAAAGGTGCAGAACATGTGCTTGTATATCTTGGCTCATATACGTGGAATGTAGAACTGCTACGGTATATCACGTTTGGAGGCTAAGGAGGGGGGAGTAAAAGGCAGATCAACCAAAGATCCAATTTCTGGATTATTATATGATGATTTTTAACTTTTCATATATAGAAAAGAAATATAGACTAGAAACGACATCTGTTATGTCAATGACACCAAAGGATATTAAATGAATGAAATTGGGGTATGGATGGAATATAATGAAATAAGTTATCATACTTGCATATCCATCATTTGAGTCTCCAACAATTATTCCAATAATTACATATCCGATTTGACCTATGGACGAATATGCAAGCATACGTTTCATGCTTGTTTGAGTAATAGCAATGAGATTTCCCAATATCATGCTAAGAATAGCTAGAATTTCCAGAAGAAGATGCCATCCGTTTGATGAGAAATAAAAAGGAATATCAAAAATTCGAGTGGCTGAAGCTGAAGCAGCTGCTTTCGAAGTAACAGAAAGAAAATGTTGCTTTGTTTATCTGGGATTGGAAAAATTAATATCAATTAGATCTATTGAAATATCCGCCTTTTGCTTTTAGTTTTCTGTTTTAAAGAATTCCTGTGAGTGAGCTTATAGGAATAATTTTATTTCGATGAACCAACTTGTTAGTTCCAAGCAACAAAGAATAATGAAGAAATAAAAATTATACAATTTCATTTTTTGTATATTCACCATGTACGAGGATCCCCGCTAAGCATCCATGGCTGAATGGTTAAAGCGCCCAACTCATAATTGGCGAATTCGTAGGTTCAATAAAATTTCCATTTATTTGTGATCTAGGCATAGGTAGCAATCCATTCTATAATTCTTCTCATTACCTCTCGCGAGAAAATAATCCCACTAAAGAAAAGAATTGTACAGTACGAAATAACATAAAAACAAATTTATAAAGAAACAAATCTATTCAATGAGCAAAAAAGGAGAGAGAGGGATTCGAACCCTCGATAGTTCTTTGTTCAAAACTATACCGATTTTCAAGACCGGGGCTATCAACCACTCAGCCATCTCTCCGAGAGACAATTTTTATTTTATTCCTCCGAATAGAATATGACCATAGGGTAGATTCCCCTTCTATTTCTTTACTTTTGGTAGGATAAAAACATATGTGGGTGGATTATTACAATTAGTAGTAGCATTATAGTAAGTATTCCAAGAAATACTGAGTCTGCTTTTTCGATTGTTCCCGATCCGTGGATAGAATACTGTATGTTTTTGGGGGGGGGGGGAGGGCACGCATACACAAAATGGAATTCACAATCAAAAATGAATTTAACTTTAACAAAATTCTTCTGATAGATTAAATAATTCAATTTCTCTTTCTGACTCTGGTTTTGCGTAACCTAAATTACTAATTGAAAAAAAATACCTTTTTGATCACTCCAAATTGACACATTTTCAGAGGGAAAATCCTCACTAAGGGTTGAGTTGACAAGAGGAAATATCTGGTGAATCTTTAAAGTAATTCCTATAAAAAAATAAAAAGTACGAAAGAAAAGAATAAAATCAATGAGGGAAAAGGATATAGGCCATGCCATATTTTAATAAAATCATTAGCAAACATTCCGAAGAAGTAATTGATTGAAACCATCAACAGTAGTTCCACGGGCACTTCTCGGATTTCGAAACTGAAAATCCTCACTAAGGGATGAGTTGACAAGAGGAAATATCTAGTGAATCTTTAAAGTAATTCCTATAAAAAAAATAAAAAGTACCAAAGTTATTGCAAAGGATTTTAAAGATTTTAATCTATTAGTTTTTTATTCAACCCTTTAATTAAAATAACTTTTAACTAAAGGTCTTATCCCTACTCTTCTAAAAAAAGAGAAATTTTTTATTAATCTAACTTTGACAAATAGGTCGATGGGGAAATAAACCTCCCCATCTTAGAAATGAGAAAAAGAAAGGTAAACCTTTTACAAAGATTTGTCAACAAAATTTTTATTTTTTTGGTCAATAAAAAAGTATTAGGATTTTTAGAATAATTCAGTAATCAAAAAATTATTATTTTTAAAACTAAAAGAATGAACTTAATTTCAATATGATAAACTTTTGAAGTCTGCTACATTTGATAAACTTTTGAAGGATATTATGGAAGCAGTGTGCTTTTGTAGCAAGTAGTTGGTCAAGCTTTCCTAAAACACGTCAAAATTGGGAGATTGTGCTGAAGTAGGGTGTGGACTGAAAATGCGTGTCAGAATAGAAAGTAAAGGATAAATTGTAAGTAGTTAGGGGGTGTAATAGAGGTGTTAGCCAGAGTGTACAAACTTTCATTGCTGATTGATGCGACTGCCGAGAGCACAATCCGAACTGAGCACCGGGGGTGTGCTCGAACTGAGGAGAACCGAACTGGTACTAGCGAGGTGGTCTGAACTGACCTACAAAGAGATGAGTAGCAGGACTAGCTCTCTGTTGTGACTCCGACGTTCAAATCAGTTATGGCTGTCAATAAAGCAATGATATTAACTACTGTAAATGGCGTACCTTACTTTGTTCCTAGAAGTTTGTGTTGTATTTATAGAGCCCCTAGAAGTTGTTTCCTTGTAGAATTATGAGCCCTATTAGGGATGGACTCTTTCTTGGATCTTACCTCCAATCCGGTCCCGAAAGGCCAGGGAGCCTCAGTCCACTCGGCCCACCTTGCGAGGAGGCGGCAGCCTCGCCCGAACTGGCTGTCGTACCAGTTCGAACTGACATGTCATTCGTCCGAACTGACACGTGGCCTCGGTGGATTGGCTCCTCCACACTGATCAATAAAATTCCTTATTATTTGCCCAAAAAAATTAAGAAATTAGGCATGCATATATGTAGTCCAGACATTATCTGAGAAACTCTTCCCCTGTGGATATTGCAAAAAGTGCAATGAGTATGAAGACTCGCCATACTCTAAAAAATATTCTAATTATTTTGGGTTATCTCTATCTTACACCTTTCAATTATACCTCAATTTCCACTTAATTCCATTTTTAGTTAACAAAAATTGATAAACAAGGATTATCTTGCCTAAGGTTCCTCCACCAAAACTTAATTCCTTTGACAGTCATTCAATGTCACCTGACAATGAAAATCTTTGGGTATATTGACCAAGAAATGGGATGTGACGATCAAATCCAAATGTTCATGCTCATGCACTTTTAGGCTTCAGCTCATGAATTGGCATGGAACTGTTTATCAATTAACAAAATAGATCAGGCCGTTTTCCAAACAAAATAGATCAATTAACACCTTCAGCTTATATAACAAAAATAGATCATAAAAACATCTAAATACGTCCATGGATTCTGTTTCCAAACAAGGAGGGGATGGAACAGGCTGAATTTTTTTAATCCCCAATGTCAAAGGAATGTATGAATTAGATGGGGAATCTCCAACGTCAGAGAAATGCACAAATGAAATGTTCCCAAATCACCTACAATCCCGTGAAGAGCTCCAACAAAAGTAATTTTTTCAAAATAGAGCTATTTAACAAATGTTCCCCAGCTCAAGGAAATGGTACATCGTTATTGTTCACAATCTCCCACCATCGTCAACACCAATTACAAATTTGAGCTTCAGGTAACCTTTATAAAGTGTTATTAATTTCGATTAGGTAGTAATTGTTGGACATGAAACTACTTTGCTCTCTCTGTTCTGTGCAACTTTAAAATGTATTTTGAAATAAAATAAGGTTTTTTTAACGGGTGCCCCTAATCTACCATTTATATATGCATACTAACAATTACTACCATCACTTACATTTATACATTTTTCCTAATTAATCTCTTTGTATTTATATGATTTTCCCAATTAATCTTATATTTCTAAACATCTAACACATATCTTAATGAGTGCACTCATTGAGCACCCATTAGTCAGACCGATAAAATAAATACATGAATCTATATGCCGTATGCATGCTTTATATTTACAAATACATATGCGTATGTGTATCCTTATATGGTGATATATATCGACGATCAATTTGTTTCTCATTTATTTGCAAAAGTTGAAAAAGGGAAAGATGGATCAATAACAGAAAGTAAATCATCAACTTAATTGCTATATATGTATGTCAAACATAAACACCAAGTAAACTGCTTGGGCTTTCATAACATATAAATTGGGATTATGAACTTGAGGTCTCCACATCTGTAAACAAACTTATTGGTAAATACAACATATCTCATTCCTGTTTTCAACCTTAAGCATTTCAGCGGTGACAAAGTCAAGACAAAGATTCCCCAAATACATTTGCACCTCAGGACTCTGCAATGTATTTAGGAGAAAAACATAAGTACTACTTAAATGAATAGTAATCCTTGGAATAAGCTTTTGTTATACCATAAGATTGAAGAATAAGTTGCTACTGGAATATCTCATAAATAATGGTTAATACCTGCTTCAAGGAGCGATATCTTTAATAAACTGAAGTTTGATCTTCTGGAGCGCTCTTAGAATCTCTTTCATGTTTATTCTTTCCTCAGGAGCATATGTTGTACAACTTAAACCAAGTTGCAAGATAGATAATATGCATTCAATCTTCCTTTGTACCAGTCCATCTTCATGATGAAGTAAATCTACATCTATAATCTGAATTATTGAATCTGGTAAGCAATCTTGTACCCAACGCCTAAGGCTTAACTCTTCTGTAAACATCTCATCCTTGGGCTTTCTTTTCATAAATGCGTCCATCAATATAATCCCAAAGGTGTAAGCATCACTACTTGTTGAAACCAATCCTTCCAGTCCATATTCTAGCATCAAAGTTTGAAACTCATTGTTAAAGTCAAGTACAGGCATCAGTTCACCAACTTTATGCATTTTTTTCGAAGTTCTTATATTTCACATACCGTACTAGTTGTTGAAATTTGAAAGTTGAAACATTAATTTGAATGACATAAAAAATTCGAAATTGTAATCAAGAAAAGTCACCTAGGGCAATATATCCAAATGTGGCAAGAGTCTTTGTTTGTACCACAAACTCTTCATCTCCCAACAACTTTGCAATTCCAAAATCACAAACATGCCCAACCATGTCTTGATCCAGTAGAATATTGCTAGGCTTCAAATCACAGTGAACTATCGGAGTTGAATAACCATAATGGAGATATTCCAAACCACAAGCCACATCTATCATAACATCTAATCATTGCTTGATATTTAAGAAATGATGATTTGAATGTAGCCATTTCTCAAGGCATCCATTGGGCATATATTCAAGCACCAAAGCCTTAAAGTCAGGGCTAGAGCAAGCACTAATTGCTCTAGTTAAATTTCGATGACAAAGGCAGCTTAAGACTTCACATTCTCTATCAAAGCTTTTAAATTTCGAATACTTTTATGGCCCAAACCATCCCATTTTCACGAATTCCTTTGTAAACTGAACCAAAGCTCCCCGAGCCAAGTAAGTTACTCTCGCTGAATCCATTTGTTATTTGTCTAAGTTCATGCAAGGATGCCCTTTCAAATGTCGCCATGGGAAGCAAGTTCTGAGTCTGAGCTAGATTTTTCTCTCTTAACTTTAACCGCATTTCTGAGTCGGAGCTAGATTTTTCTTTCTTAACTTTAACCGCATCAAAAAAATTGAAATCACCATGGCTAAAATGACAGAACCTGATGCCAACAGAACAATCATGACTATCCTTTTTGTCCTTGATTCATGTTGAAATGTACTTGTACAAGGTTGGAGCCAAGGAGCGCCACACAATGCTTCATTTGAGAGAAAAGATAGGTTCGTGAAATTTGTGAATGGCCCTCCATGAGGAATTGGTCCTCTTAATCTATTGTAAGACACATTAAAGTGTAGGAGATCTGATAGTACCTGTAGTGAGCTGGGAATTTCACCTTCCAGATTGTTAAAAGATAGATCCAAATGCCGTAACTGTAGCATATTCTTCATGGAATTTGGTATCGATCCTTGTAACTTCTTGTGCTCCAAGGAGAGTTCTTGTAAATCCTGTAGTGCTCCAATGCTGCTAGGTATCTCACCCAAGTATTGATTATTTGAAAAGTTCAATGTGATTAATACCTTGAAGCTTCCAATTTCAGTGGGCAAAGAGCCAGTCAAATAATTTGCTGACATGTCCAGCTCCAAAATATCTCTTAGGATCCAAAAGCTTGCTGGTATGTTAGAACTTATATTGTTGGAATTGAGATAAACATATCTTAGTGTTCTAACATTTCCTAAACAAGAAGAAACCGTACCAGAGAGCTTATTTTTTGCCAGATTTAATCCTTCGAAGTTCAACAAATAACAAAGCTCACTTCGAATACCTCCTTGTATCTGATTGTCATTTAGATCTATCATCTGAAGCTTCAACAACCATTTGGTTGTAGTTGGAATTACTCCTGTCAAACTATTGAATGCAAAGCTCAGCACTATTAAGTTGATCAAATTACCAATCGAACTTGGAATTTCACTTATGATTCCACAACGAGTGGCAGAAATGGATTGGAGTGAGCTGGAAAGATTTCCAATAGACTTGGGAGTAAGCCATTCAGAGGATTCTCATCTAACCACAACCTTCTTAAACGTTTGCAGTTTGATAGGGACATGATGAAGCTCAACTCTTTGGATAGCGGGTCGCCAGAAAAATCATTTTGCCATATAGCAAACTGTTCCAGTAATCTCAAGTTTCCAAGAGAATGAGGAATTGCACCAGTAAAATGGTTCGTACTAAGTTCTAGCGTTCTGAGCCTAGAAGCATTTGAGATAGATGTTAGTATAGTTCCAGTAAATTCATTTCCCCAGAGGTAGAGTTCCTCAAGATTGGGTAAGAAAGCACCTATAGTTGATGGAAGCTCGCCTGATAAATCATTCTGCGCGACAGAAATTACTCGTACAGTTGAACTATTGAACAGTTTCAGCGGAATGGAACCTCTCAACCTATTGGACTCCAAGTTTAGTAGTTCCAACTTGCTAAGATTACCAACCTCTTGAGGTATTATACCTGACAAATGAAATTGGTTAGAAGAAAATGTGAAGATTGTTTGTTGTCCTACTTTTAGAATAGAAATGAGGAGTTATATTTTTGTATTTACGCCTATTAAAAATATTCTTAACTGTATCACTAGATAGTCTAATCAATAGGAATATTTGATTTTAAATATCTATACACTAGTATGAATACCATTAGTATTACTAGTGATAAAGGGCACACTCAATTTACATGCAATTTTTTAAAAATCACTTTTTATAGGGAAAAAATTGAAATAAAATTTTAATGAACGAAAAAACTTTGATCTTTTAAAAGCTTTTTTAATATTATTATAACGAATTTGGTAATTATAATGTTTGTGGTTGGTCATTAGTGAAAGTTTGTTGTGCTATTGGTTGACAATACATAGGCAACATGTTAATCAGATGATAAAAGTATTATTAGGTGATTGTGATGATAATGTTGAAAAATTTAAAAGTGACAAATATGATCTAATTAAATTTCAACTCTGGTTATTATGTCATCAATTCATTTGCATTAATTTTGTCTAATACCATTACAAATGCATTTTTTAAAATTTCTTTATGTTATACGCACAAATATAATGAACAATCATGCAACAACGTCATATCATTTCTCCTACAAATATTCCATCTCAACTAATTAATTAACCATTCGTTTACTCCCTCACAATTATTAATTTAATAATTAATAATTATTTCTCTTATGATTGGTTTAATTAATTGTACATATTAATTTACGGTCATTTTCATCCTACCCGTGATTGGTTTAATTGCCCTCGTCAACTGCTTTAACCACTAACTCTACCCACCATAACCAAAGCAGGACAACATTGCAAAACTTTTGTATCTCACATTTAAAGTCGAGTACCTAAATTTAACGAAAGAGGAAGCATATCAACATATTCAAGGGTAAAGATAGGAAAGCAAGTGGTATAATTCATTGACAATTTTGGAAATGGCAAAACATTTTGAGACAATGTTTCAAACAAATTCATGTCAAAATGTATCAAGTTTTTTACCTGTCACATTAGCATGCCCCATGCCTAGTTTCTCCAAATTATAGAGATTGCCAATGACTTTTGGAATTTCACCTGCCCAAAAATCACAGCATGATGATAAATATAATTAACAGCATGGCATAATTATATGTATATAACATATATGTATTTCGGAATTCTAAGGATCTTCAATCAAGTTTCAAATAGTATCATTGAAATTTCTCGTAAATATTGGCAAAATGACGATTACATACACTCCCAAATATTGGAGGTTATTTTGGTGGCAATCTCTATGCGTATGTTGATGGATTTTTAAATGTGTGCATAAATTAGAAATAAAATTGATATAAAATATAAATATGCATATCAAAATTAATTTTTTACATTTTCTTTCATAGACGGTAAAGCCAGGAAGTTTCAAATGTCCGAAAATTTTAAGGGGAAATTGCTCAAAACCCCCATGTGGCTTGAAAATATACTTTTAACATCCTTATGCTTTGGATTGAAAGGCAAGAGAGATGTAATCCATCAAAACCAATGGTTTTGTGCAAAAGACAACTCTACCCCATTAATAACATAGTGTTAATTCGTTCTTCTTTGACAATTTTATTTCTTACATCAAACAAAATTGTGTGTTTGGCATAGTCATTAATCCCGGCCTAGACATCAACCCGGCAAGGCCATTGGTATAACAGGTTAGCGGCTTAACTATAGATTTACTGATCCAGGCGATGTTTCTAAAATATTGTACAATAAAATATTTTGATTACTAAAACATAGTATTTTAGATTTTATCGATTGAATTGGCGAAAATTATTGACTAGTTAACGATTTCCTTCCTCATTCAGTCCAACCACTAATCCAAAATCACTAAGTTGACCAATTGAACCATCGGATTAGGTGAGGTTAGGTTTAGTAACTCTGTGTTCGCCATGTTTTGAGTTTTTTATTTCCTAACTTTTGTCTTTATTTTGTTGAAAACAAAAACTTCTTTATTCAGACGAAGTTTGCACCACTACTTAAGTAGCTAGCGATTATCAGCAATAGTGAATGTGTGATGTAAATTTTTCATGCACTTATGAGTCTAGTTTCAAAATCCTTTAAAACCCAATGAAAATTTCTCATTGGGTTACGAAGGATTTTCTGTCTTAATTTGTACTCTACACAATAAACTTACATCAATTAGTCGTAGATGACAATTCCCGGCTATAACTACTTGCTTTATAATGTTGTTGCAAATTTTGGTTGATTAAGGAAGAATATTTTTCATTTTACATTTTTTGACGAAATAGAGATGAAAAAGTTGACGAATAAAAACATCAAAACATTGCAAACTAACAATTCAGTTTGAAATAAATAAGGGCAAACTCCATTTTACCCCCTTGTGGTTTAGCGTTTTTTCACATAACCCCCCTATGGTTTCAAAAGCTATACATAACCCCCTCATGGTTTGGATTAAAGTGTCAAAGTAACGGAAATGGTCACTCGTAACGGCGTCACCTAAAATGTCAAAAATACCCTTATGTAAGGTTGAAATTTATGTATTAACCAAGGGGGGTTATGTGTATATTTTGAAAAGCATAAGGGGGTTATATGGTAAAGTATTAAACCATAAGGGGGTTATATAGTAAAATATAAAAATCATAGGGGGTTAATGTGTCATGTATTTATAAGGGTAATTTCGACATTTTTAGAAGTTCCGTTACGAGGGACTATTTCTGTTACTTTGACACTTTAATCCAAACCATGAGGGGGTTATGTATAGCTTTTGAAACCATAGGGGGTTATGTGAAAAAATGCTAAACCACAGGGGGGTAAAGTGGAATTTACCCAATAAATAAAGATAACGCACAGAATGGGGCCAAAACTAGAAATACTTTCAAGTAAGAAACAAAACTAAGAAAAAAGGATGAATTTACGTTATGTATGTTAATCGAGTTGTCCTTTTGCACAAAGCTGTTAGTTTGTATGCATTTCATCATCTTAGCTTTCAATCTAAAGTGCAAAGGGTTTAGCTAGAGGTTAGAGTACCACACCCCATGGGGTTCTTGAGTAACGTCTCTAATTTTTAACTATTATTTACCTATGTGAAAGTATTCCAAACATCCCCATATAATCATTGATGAACAAAGAATGCAAAAAGAAGGGATCATTGCTTATATCCAGTCTACTTAAACATTAAGTTTGAACTTAATCTACTCAAACATTAAGTGTGTCTCCACACATACGCATCTAAACACACAACCCTACAAGCATTTAAATCTGCGATCAATTGGTGGTCGAAATACACAAGAATTTTTCAAAACAAAGTGAAGTTGGTAGCTTACCTGTCAGGTCAGTCCCACCCAAATGTATTTGTGTAAGCGTGGTTAGATTCCAAACTCCTTTTGGTATATACCCTCTGAATTTGTTGGAAGACAAGGATAAAACTTGGAGTCTTGAGCATTCTCCGATGGCTGATGGAATTTCACCTTCAAAGTTATTAAGTGATAAGCAAAGCCCTTGAAGTTGTGGGAGATAATTGCAGATGTGTGCTGGAAGGTAACCCGATAAGCTATTATTCGTAAAACCAATAATTTGCAATGAGGAGAGGTTAAACAAATCCCATGGCAGAGGGCCAACAAGTTGGTTATGTTGAATGTCCAAAACTGTCAATTTCGGTAGAGCGCTGAATTCTTCTGAAAGATTTCCAGTAAAAAAGTTGAAACCCAAACTGACGGTCTCTAACTTTGTGAAATTAGAGAGCCTGCCTGATATTGAACCTGAAAATCCGTTATCTCGGAAGGAGTATTGGAGTGCAGTTAAACCTCCCAACCATGACGGTGGCTCTCCCTCAAAGGCATTACCTTCCAAGTTGATGTACGTCAATCGGCGAGATAGCTCGGTTGGAAGATGTTCATGAAAGCTGTTATTCATAACATTCAACCTGACGAGAAAAGAAAGATTTCCCAGTTGTGGAGGTATGGTTCCCACAATTCCCATGTAAGAAAGGTCAATGGCTGCGACTCTGTGATGACGAGCATTACAAGTGATTCCAATCCAGTTGCAAAGAGAGGAAGAAGTGGACCAGTTGGTTGGGATAATCCTTTGAGGATCGAAAATGGTGGCTTTGAAGGCACGAAGTGCATTCAGATCACTAGCACTGTTGTTATGGTTATTGGCAATACTTATGCTAGCTGAGCTAGTTGTGACAAAATGCAACGCTATGGCACCGAGGACAAGAAAATAAGTTCTCTGCATTGCTTATAGAGGTAAATAAAACTTGAGGAATGCCAAACAATTAATAAAACATGAGCATAAATTGTGACTTATATAGGCATATACTTGTGGTTCAGTTAAAATTTTTCCACAACGTATTGTAGTTGTGTTTCCATTGTAAAACTGGATTACTAGGTTGAAGAATTTTAGATATAAACGTTGAAAATAGGTTGCCGATTATGTGTTTACACATGTGAATTGGTAAATTGCTGTTCTCATTACAGTATCCTTCTCCCAAGTATTAAAAACACACCTAATTACTTCCCAAAATTTACAAATCCTCATTTATCATCCTGTCCTATTTTTAGTTACATTCTCAAAGGTAACCTTCTTGGGTCCCTGATTGGCCCTCGAGATTTCCTTAGACTAGCTTTTTATGTATTTGCTTTGACTTTAACTGTTGAGTGTTTTGTAGAGTAATTGACGTAACAAGCAATGTCAAGGTCATAGTTATAAAATCTGGCCCGATCCAGCAGTCGAATCGGTCAATCCGGTGAGCCCATCATAGGACCGGATCAAGTCACTAATTAGATTGTTCCAACAAAAAACCCATTGACTAATTAATGACTCAGCAATTTAACCAGTGATTGGAAAAAAATCACTGGTTGAACCGTTGGTTGAACCACTAACTTAAAATTTTTATAATTTAAGATATATTATTATATTATATAATATAATTAATATACAACCCACAGTTAACCATCAACCCGGTGACTCGATCATTTCTCCGGGAAGAGTTTTGGGTCAGATTTCATAACTATGGTTCAAATTTCCTTAGACTAGCTTTTTTATGTAATTGGTTCAATTTTTGCTGTTGAGTGTTGTAGAGTAATTGATGTTACATGCAATTGCGCTGCTTTAGCATTCTATGTGGCAAAATTGAATTTTGAGTATAACAATGTTCCAAGAATGATGAAAATGATACTACTCCAAGCCAAGCTAAAATTATTAAGTGTCTGAAAATTTCTATATAAAAATAAATTGAAGTATAAAAGAAGAGAAGATGTAGAGTAAGTGTCCTATTCTTCTATGGGCCTGTACCAGTCTAAGGCATTCATTGCCTCACTAAGACCCACCACAATTATGTCTGACCTTTAAGGTATTTTTTTTTTGGTCAATTGCCATCCCTACTCTTACTCCTACTCCTACTCTAACTAGGTGGGAGGTTCAACTGAGCCTACGGGGGACTGATGGGAACAGAACCACCATCGGACTAGACGGGTGCACTACACACCCCTCTGGATTTGAAGCAGAGCTACAAGAGTGGTATTTTGGTGGCTCCCACCCCACCAAAGCCTTAAGGGCTTGGTGGTGGCCGCCAGCCCAAGGTCAGCCGGGTGCGCTAAGGCATTCATTGTGTGGAAATACAAGTTTTGGTCAAGAACTCTCCAGTCCAAGTCCTTATGCTCCAGAGTCAAGAATTGGATCTATTCACTCATTTCCGTGTGTTTGCTTCCAACCAAGATGGAAAAAAATTCACTTTTCGTCCCTAAACTTTGAAGTAGGGACATATTTCATCCCCAAACTTTTAGATGCACCACATTTAGTACATGAATTAATTATTTTTTGCCACATTTAATCTAAAATGGTAAATTGCTTTATTTGGATGGAGAAAGTCAGGTGTTTGGCACGTGGCCATTAAATAAAAATAATTTTTCAGTTAAAATCAACGGCCACGTCAGCTTTCTCCATTCAAATTGAATATTTTACCCTTTTTGGACTAAATATGGCCCAAAATAATTAATTCATGTACTAAATATGATGCGTCTAAAAGTTTGGAGACGAAATGTGTCCCTAACTCAAAGTATAAGGATGAAAAGTGAATTTTTCCCAACCAAGATGGATGCCAACCCAACGAAAGAAGATATTAGTGTAGTCTCTCTACATGAATGGAAGGCAGTTGACTGGAAATTCTTGTGTGAATCTAGTCTATGGTATAAGGGGGTTAATTATGTTTATCTTCTCGTTAAATAACAAAAAATGAACCTGTCGGTTGACCAATCTGCATTTATCCCTCTAAGTAGTGATGGTGTTCAAACCAAACTCATGAAATGAAATAAAGGAAAAAATACAGTGTTAATCCTCAATATTTGGCTCGTGTGCCAAACTGTCCCTAATGTTTCAATTAAAACAAATTTGGTCCCCAAATATGCTATTAACAAACTTTTCTCAGTTTTAAAATTTTCCTTATACCCTGACTACTACGGTGAAGTGTCCTTGATATTTTTTTTTTGGGGGGGGGAGGGGGGAACCAAGCTCAATTAAATATGGCTAATTATCCTACAATTGGGAGTAAACATATATATCTCCATGTTTACTAACTTTTTCCGAAACATTAGACAATTTACCGTCTTCATCTAAAACATTTAGAAGTAAATAAATATATAAGGAAGAGCCGACGCTCTGAGATTATCAAGATGAAAAGTTTTAATGATTATGTTCTTAAATATTGAATTACTTTCAATACTCGAGTAAATTTTACTTGATCAAGACAAAGGATCCTTATATTCTTTTGACTTATAGTAATTTGATTAGATGGGAGAGAGCTCCACCTAAAGCCAAATATGCACATAGTGCTAAACCTAGATGTCTAGTTTATACGTTACCCGAGTAAGTATCCTCTAAGCAAAATGGGAGAGAATTATTGACTTCGAAGTCTGAAGCGTTATTCCTACGGGGGTGCTCCATAGCGGTATCCTTTTCCCCATGGTCAGGAGCCCAAATTGGACTTGGCCCTTTCTCATCACCTTCTGTTGTTCCTTTAGAACTTGATATGCACGATCAACCTGTAAAACGAAAGTCAAAGAAAGAGGAGTAGAGTAATTGTGGTTAGGTGAGGCGCGGACTAGGTCGCTCTTTTAAGACGATTCGCGCCCCTCTCGGGATTATGCTCAATGTAGAAGGTTGATGGCATGTTCCCTCTAGGATACAACAGCCCAGCCTATGTCGTTGCTTCTACTATCTACACAATTTAGAGAAGATAAGGCTCTTCTCAACACCTAACTAATGCCCAATAGAAGTGAGAGGAAGATCGTTTTTTGAGATAGCAGGAAAAGTGTGTCAAACTTGGTTGATAGTGGCCTCTATTTATAGGCTAAAATTTTAGGAGTATTAGAATACCACCATTAAATGGAATAAATGTGTCATATTTTTCAGTTACAAAATTTGAAAAGGTCTAGGTCATTGTATAATAGTCAAAATTTAATAAATCAATTCTTAAAACCTAATCATTACATAGGTTACAAAAACAAGACATAAATCTCATAAGTTACATTTTTAATGGTGATCTTGTAACTGAAAATTCATTTCAAAATTTGTAACTCATTGCATTTGAATTCAAAATAAGCATGTGAATAAATTCAAAATAATAATGATATTTTTATTAAAATATCCAACAATCCCCCACTTATTTTAATAAAAATAGTTTGGGCATATAGTGAGAACATCATGCCTTATGAAAGTGGCAATGCCTTTAAACTTCCACTTAGTGTTTCAGTTTTCCCGTATTAGAATCATAGTGGACTTAGCCTTTAAACTATGATTACTTGAGGATACGTAGAAAACTTAACACACATGACATTCTAGGTGTTCTTAACCGAGCTTTTCAAGCTGGTACATTATGGCCATGTACTTTACCCCAGTGTTCATGAGTGCTCTAGAGAATTAGCCCAAATTCTCATAAGGGCGGCCACACCCTTACACTCATATAGGTGAGTCTATCCAGGATGTTTCTGTGACTAACACATCTCACCCATAAGGGCTATAGAACTTATTAAGAGATTAGTTCTCAACCTCTCATATTCGTCACAGAATTACATGCATAGCATTATATGATTGGACTAAAAATTTGCACGTATCACAACAAGCGACTCTATGATTCGTCTGTCTCCAGCCTAGTTCTTGGGATCTCCAGTCCCTAGGTGGTTGTATCCTCATAGGTAGTTTTTACATTTTTGGGCTTTAATCCAATCTCTCTTGATGCTTTCCAGATCTTTTCTCTAGCCAAAGCTTTTGTAAGTTGATCGGCAAGATTATCGCCCGATCTCACAAAATCAATGGTTAATGAACCATTATTTAAATATGATCTCACAGTACTGTATTTTCTCCTTATAGATCTGGATTTTCCATTATAATATTTATTGTGAACTCTGCCAATAGCAGTGGTACTATCACAATGTATTAAAACAGGAGGTATCGGCTTATTCCACATTGGAATTTCAGATAGTAAATCATGTAACCAAGCTGCTTCTTCACATGCAGAAGCAAGAGCAATTAACTCTGCTTCTATGGTGGACTTTGCGATTATGTGTTGCTTTTTGGATCGCCAACAAATGGCTCCACCTCCCAATGTAAATAAATAACCAGTATTGGACAAAGAATCACTAGATTGTGAACTCCAATCTGCATACTAAAACCTTCAAGTACAGCAGGATATTTTTTATAAAATAGACCATAATCTAAAGTTCTCTTAAGATATCTCATGATTCTATGAATTGCATTCCAATGTGTAGAGTTGGGTTTACTAGTAAACCTACTAAGTACACCAACCGCATATGCAATATCAGGTCTAGTACAATCAGTTGCATATCTCAAACTACCAATTATACTAGCATACTCTTTTTAATTTATTACATCAGAATCATTTTTAGTAGGAAATAAACACACATGAGAGTCAAAGGGTGTACAAACTGGTTTACAATCAAAATAATTATATTTTTTAAATATTTTTTCAATATAGTGAGATTGATCAATAAAAATTCCTTCTGAATTTTTTGTAATTTTCATACCAAGTATGACATTAGGTTCGCCTAAGTCTTTCATTTCGAAATTACTTTTAAGTAATGCTTTTGTAACCTCAATTACTCGCATATTAGTCCCAAATATCAATAAATCATCAACATATAAACAAATTATCACATGAGAGTCTTCAAATGATTTATAATAAATGCACTTATCACTTTCATTTGACCTAAAGCCATTAG